TTTCATCTTGTCTCTTTAGACTGTCTGCTTGAACCATATTTAGTATGAGAATTTGCTAATTTATATCTTGTGTTTTCAGTATTTTAGGCTTCATGTGTGTGTTGTCTCTTTACTAGATAATCTGCTTTGATCTCTTTGCTCCCTTATAATCAGGGCTCGACAAATACACTCGCCCATGCCGAGAAGATTTTGCCAGCTGGCAACTGCAGGAGCGGACTGGCCCCCACACTATGGGTGGCACGGCCCCATCCGATCCGCCAGCTGGTGGAGGAGCACAGCGCTGCTAGGAAGGGGGAAGTGCTGTGCTAAAATCCTGGGACAAAAATGAAAACAAACAAACGAACAAAAACATTGAAAAATGCAAACATATAAAAGACAACAAAAGGGGGGAGGGGCCAAAAATGTTTTGCTTGTATTTAAGTAATAAACCAATCACTAAATCAAACTTGAGAGAAGCAAAAATGGAATCATATATTTAAACATAAATGATGATGATGAGCATCTTATATTTCACTGAGCTACAAAAGCAGGAGTAAGAGACACGGAAGGGATCTCTGGGCCCCACACTCACTATTAGTGGAATTGCCATTTGAATGGAGCTTGAGGATACCTTGTGAGAGCCAAACAAGTTCAACTTGTGTATGTCACCATCTGTCTCATTTCCCTTTTTCTGCACGTGGTTAGCTCAGCTGCGATTTTTTTCTCTGCATTAAATTTGCATATTTCACACCCAGGTGACACCGCCCTGCAGTTCTGGGCCAGCATAAATGTCCCATGTAACTGGTGACAATTTGCTGATCTGCATCAGGCCAGGCAGACGTAGCAAGATGGTCTCACACGCTCAGCTCCTCTGGCTGTTAGTGCTCTGGATCCCAGGTAAGAATCAAATGAAGGGGACGTGGCATGGGTTATGCCACCATGAGCCATGCATTGGAGCTGCGAGGGAAATACCAGCAATGGAGGACAGCTTGGAATGAAACAGCCGCCTCAAAGATAATGTTAGTAACAGTGTCAGGAGGATGACCTGTCATAAGAATTTAAAGAGGCAGATGGGAAAATTTACCAAATCAATGCATGGCTCGTTTTGGTTAATTACATTATTGACATTTATATAGGTCAGAAAGAGTACATTGCACTCACTAATTTATATGCTGTTTCTTAATGTAGACTCCAGCGGGCAGATCGTGCTGACTCAGACTCCAGAATCCCTAGCAGTGTCTCCTGGAGACACAGTCACTATCCGCTGCAAAGCCAGTTCCAGCCTCACCACGGGTAGCTATCAGCTCCTAGCCTGGTACCAACAGAAATCAGGACAAGCACCAAAGCTCCTTATCTATGATGGAAGTTCCCTGCAATCCGGGGTCCCAGCCCGGTTCAGCGGCAGTGGGTCTGGCACAGATTTCACTCTCACAATCAACAGAGTGGAAGCTGAAGATGCTGGAGATTATTACTGTCAGCAGTATCAGAACTTACCTCGCACAGTGATACAGACCCATACAAAAACCTCCCCAGTCTGTTCTTTAAGGGTAACAGCTGCTTCCTAGCCAAGGTGTAACCATTACCTGCCTTTCAGGCAGAGTTGTGAAAAACCATACCAGATTTCACTCTCACAATCAACAGAGTGGAAGCTGAAGATGCTGGAGATTATTACTGTCAGCAGTATCAGAACTTACCTCGCACAGTGATACAGACCCATACAAAAACCTCCCCAGTCTGTTCTTTAAGGGTAACAGCTGCTTCCTAGCCAAGGTGTAACCATTACCTGCCTTTCAGGCAGAGTTGTGAAAAACCATAC